GCTTCAGCCCAGGGTCAGCCACTCTTCTGGAAAGGGCCAGATGTAAGCACTTTTGGCTTTGCAGGCCATATGGTTTCTCTCACAGTTATTCAACGCTGCTGCTGTAGTGTGAAGGCAGCCGTAAATGACTGAGCTTGGCTATGTGCCAACAAAACTATTTCAGACACAGAAATTTGGATTTCATGTAATTTTCAAATCATGAAGTATGATTCTTCTTTTGATTTTTTCCAAATCGTTTAAAAATGTAAATACTATTCTTAGCTCCCAGGTCCTACAAAAAGTAGGTGGTGGGCTGGACCTGGCCTATGGGCTGTAGTTTGCCAACCCCTGATATAAGCTTTTCAAAATGAGAGTGTCATTTAATGTTTCATTAGCTTTAATTTGTAGCAAGGTAAAAATATGATTTGGAGAGATTCAATGGCACAGAATTATTTTATTTTAGATGTCTATTAGTGAGTTTTACAGTTTCTCTATCACCTAAAAATAAAATTTTCTGTTTAAAGTCAGAACTGTCAAAACTCAAAACAAACTTAACAGTGACTTACTCCAGGTTTATCAAACTTTTTTGGGCGAGAAGACAAGAACGACACAGTGTGGGTTCAGTGGTATGAGCACGTCCAGCCACATCCTTCCTGACACAGTCCATAATCAGCAGGACCATGGGAAGATCACAGCCTGGTCACTTTATGTACTTATTGGGACAAACAGCCCATGTGTCAGAAAATGGCATGTTTTTCTCAACAGTGTGCTATCAGCGGCTGTGCCTCAACATGGCCTTCCATTTTCTAAGCAGTGGCTGGCTTGTCTCAACCCCATCCACCCCTCACTGAAACCAGGATGGCCTTGAGTCCTCCCTGTGAAGCTCACCCTCCTAGGACCTGGTGGCCTCCTGACAGGTGCACTCACCTGCTGTCCTCACTCTCACTCTACAGAATACAGGTCCCAGCCAGGTAGACTCAATGCCGGCCCTTCGTTTCCTTTCTCAATCACCCCTTTCAAGGCAATATAAAAACCCCAGCTCTTCCTTATGAGCAAGTGGACACTCTGGCAAGGAAACTGGCCAGAACGTGATAGTGTCCCCCACCCACGACTCTACCTCTCAGCTCCCACATGTCCAAGGTCGCATTGCCCATGCTTATTCTGGAGACATCTTTGCTTCTCTTTTGCCTACAGGCAGCAGAATTTAATTCCCAATCACAGTAACTTTGTGCCACTTCCCGACAGCTATGGAGAAGCTTGATTACATTCTGCAAGTCTGACTCTTCACACATCCCCAAATGGCAGAACTTCAGTGGAATTATTCTGCTTATTTTGTTTACTTTTCCTTGATTCAGGCTCTCTGGTTCTCCCACAAAGACTCAGAAAGAGCTTACAGTTACTAGTGCAGTGAAGCTCTCCTTCTCCACCCCCTTTGCGTTTCTGGGTGCATGTAACTCTAGCAACACCAGCTGAGTCTGTCACAGGCCCTTATCTGGAGAGGATGCCAGATAAACATTTAAAGTGCTAGCTGGTTGAGCCTTGCAGTTCTGGCAGGCTCAGAGTGTGTGTATTTTCTTGCCCTGATTTGGCTATAGGAGCACAGTCCTGTGCCCAGCAGCCATGGGTGAAAAGGTCCTGGGGATGTACCATCCTCATGCCACTCGGTTGCCTCCCGGTTTTTGCCAATGACTCTTTTATTTGAATTCCCTTCTGAGAAGGCATCTAGCTCACAAATGGAAAACCCAGGTCTTTTCCTTGGAATTCTCTCCTCTGTGGGTTCATGGTTCAGCAACTGCTGTCACAGAAACAGTGCTTGCAATCTCTTCCTTCAAACAGATACTGCTGGAGAGCAAGGGGAAAATCAGAGTGTGAGGTCCAAGAACCAACTGTAGTTGTCAACAGCCAGGAATGCAGACCATAGACCATAGACCCCAGATGCCACCTTGGCAAGGTGAGAAGGACAAGCAGCAGTTAAACACAGACTTTCTTCTGCCCACCTCCTTGACAAAGTCCCTTGTCCGATGTGAATCCCCATCCTTCTCATTCAGACGCAAGTCTCCCATTAGCTTTTGCTTAGAACATTTTGTTCTCAGAAAACCCAAATGACTTTGAAACATGCACAGCTTCACACTCTCACGATGTATGTATTCAACATGGGCTACACACCAGGCAGGAGCCACTGGGGACAAAGATGCATGGAGCTTGATATGATGGGTGTATGGCACACATGCCGTTCTCTCTCCTTCTCTGCACCCTGGCCCATCCTTTCCTCCTCTCATTCTGAGGCTGTAAAATCCAGAACCCTGGCTTTGCTCTTCAACCCAGGAGTCAATCAAGTGAATCTCAAAATCATTCCACAGTCATCCACATCCACATGTGCAAAGTAGCTTTTGGCTTCCCCAACCATAGGTCTGACCACCAGAGGCTGCAAGCTCGTAGCATTTCCATGCAAGAGCAGTTAAGTTATCTGCAGATGCTGATCCCAGGGAGGAAGGAAGGGCGACATCTGCATTTCTGCAGAACCTGACTCTGAAGAGCCCTAAGCCCTTGCCTCAGGACCCGTCCCAAGTCATGTCAGCTCTTCACACTGGCATTGTGGGAACTCCAGAGAGAGGCGTCCAAGGGAGCTCTGCAGAGGTAGAGCTTTATCCAGATGCCCGGCTCTATGTCTGTACCAATGCCTTGCCAAGTCAGATGGATTCTGCCCATCTCAGCAAAATTCTCATGCATACTAAATCACAGGTATCAATTTAATCAGTGTTGGCAGGTACCGGGTACTGGAAAATAAAGAGGTGCAAGAACACTGTGCCTTCCCTCAAAGAGTCTCAGTCTGGGAGAGCAAAGATACAGGGACAATCCTAAGTGGGATTCTGGTCCCCACTGAACTATTGCTCGGGGCACACTCCAGACCTGCCTAAGTAGGACTGTTTGAGGTGGGGCCTCAGCATGCATATTTAGAGTAAGGCCCACACATGAAAGGTGCTGCTTAACAAAGATAAATAAAAGGAACACCACAGGCTCAAGGAAGGAGAGGTCAGAGACAGGGCAGGAGACTTGGGTGACCATTGGATATAGCAGTTGGGCATTTTTCCACCTTTGCTTCAGTAATTTCATGCGATGGAGGGTGGGCAGAAGTCTCACTATCAGTGACTGAGCAAGAGCAGTGAAGTGCACAGCATCACTATGTAGCCATGTCATCAAGTGTGACTCTGAGGACTAGAGAGGGGAATAGGTGAGTTGACACTTTGCAATACAAGTTTTTTTCCAGATGGGAAGCACCTGAGTTTTTCAGCAAGGGACCAGAGTCAGTAGAAAAGATGAAGTTAAAGAGATAAGATAAAGATGAAGATAGAGACAGAACTAGAAGGATAATTCACACAGCAAACTCCCCAGCAGGGTGTGAGGGACTGGGACACAGCAGTGATCAGAGACCCAGGGCGAGGCAGCACTGTGAGTCTACAGGGAGGAGGAAGTAGACCCATGATGAACTTCCAAATTAGTCCCGGAATCTTTACAACTTAAAATAATAAAGTTCTGATGACAGTGATTATCATCAACTGCTATAACACTAACAAAAGCTCCTGTCTGAATACCCCAGTGTACTCTGTGACACATACAGTGCTCTGTGTGGGTATGACTGCTACATGCACCACCAACTCTAGCAATGATGGCAGTGTGCCACAGCCACACACCAGATCTGAAACAGTCTTCACAGAATGAATACAATGCTCACAGCAGATCACTTTCTAATGTGGCATGGCTAGAGCTTTAGAATAGAATTTTCCCTTTTATGAACTCATATTTCTTTTCCTTTTAATACCCTCCCCCAAAAGAGAAAGACCTTATTTAAAGTCATCATCGCACCATGAGATAAGCGCAAAAGACTATCTGAGGATGGATGCCAGGTCTGTAGGACACATGGTGTACGCTCTACTTTGCTTGGCGGGAGAATAGTGACATCACAGTGCCTGTGTTCTACAGAGGATTTCACTTGGGCGGGTATTAGATTCTTACAAGATGCTGAGGAGAGTAAGGTGGACACTTTTACCCCTTTTCACATTCCTGGACAGCACGTGACAGGCCCAGATGGAAAGCTCCCAAGTGCAGACTCCAGACTCCCGGCCCACAAGGTCACCAGCTATGGACAGTAAAGCAACAACGGGAACATAAGTGACTGGTAACTGCAAATCCTCACAGGAGCATGCGCCCCATGATACCAATAAAGGAGAGCAATGAGGGTGCCCGAGCTTACACTGCTCCTCTGTCCTGTGGGACTGGGCCTCTTATCTCACAGCTATTTAGAAAGGCAGACGTCAGGAGTTACTTGTCCATTGAGTAATTCAGTCTATGGCTTAATTTACTTTACTTCCTTACAGTGAAGAGATGCTAACTTAAATCCCACCTATACCTCTATGTATGTGTGCATATTTTCACAGAGCTGTATAAACCATGTATTAAGGATCACACATCCTATTCAAAATACTCTACACAGGCATGTCCTCTAGAACTATACACCAAAAGCACATACAAAGTTACAGATATGAGCAGAAATACTGGCAAATACACAACTTGCACACAGAGGACATACCCTCAACTTAGACAAAATGACTGCAGTCATTTCAGCTGACAGGTCTATCCTCAGAATCAACAAACAGCAGCCTCCTGTCATCTCAGCAACAATACCAACAACACCAGAAGCTAACAAGGTTTATAAAAGACCATATAAGACATCCTCTTCCAGTTATGACACTATCAAGACAGTATAGAGAACTACGTGTTTCTCAAAACTGGAACTGAGGCAGTACTCGCTAGTATCCAATCTGGTTGCTTATCCCAGAATTGTGTTTAAGAGACGAAGACAAACCAGTGAATCATGAAAAGATCTCGACTAAGATTCTTCCTGATTTATTCTTTAAAACGCCAACTATAACTGGAGAAAAAAGTTGGGATGAACACTGACCCTCTGATCAGCACACTGTCTTCAAGGCTGTGACAACCCATCAGTTTAATTATGTCTATACCTGTAAGTTTATAAGCTGAGCAGTTGATTTTCCTTGGAGGCACAAAGCTTGTGCAATAAACGCGTGCAGATCCTCCAGGCAAAGAGTGTCTACCTGAAAGGGACAGAGAAAGGCCAGGATTAGGCTACAGGAAATAATTAAACACTTCTTGCAGATTGATCTCAGTTCCTAAATACAGGTGTGCTGCATGGGTGCACACACAGGCACATACAGACATGCGTGGCACATCATGCTGTGGGCAGCCTAAAACATGTGGGTGGGAAAAGCACAGTCTCTACTCTTGCCATCCTCGGACCTGGCTATAAAGCTCTTTCCAGTGTCCATGGCTATGCACACAACTCATGGGCCAAGTTGGACAGGTGAACCTGGACCTCTAGTATAGTGAAAATCTCCAGAATGACTGGAAATACAAGTTCAAGTCTTACAACAATACACTTAGGTGATCATTTTGGGCACACATTGCAGAGCGAACAACTTAAGGGTTTCGGGACAGGGATCACCCACAGCTAGGCTGAGCTGGGGTGGTCAGTGTTGCGGTGAACATTCCCTTCAACAACCCAGATGACAGATGACACTTGTGTCCTCAGATCCCACTGCAAAGTACAATCCCAAGAAGACCCAAGAAGAGACCCAAGAAGAGATGAAGACACTCAGAAAGACAGAGACAGGCTGGGAGTTGCTGGGTCTCAGTAGACTGTAGAGATGAGGAGGGGCCTGAGGAGCTAAGAGACACAGGCCAGTCACGATGGGCCATACCCTTGCCTGCCTCACAGGATTTCCTTGCCTGGCCACCAGATGCTGCTACCCAGATAACAATAGCAAGGCACCTGCTAGCAGAATAATCTCACTCCTATCACAATACTATGAGAACTTCTGTCCACAGAAGAGCACACTCTGTGGCAAGTAAAGGCTTAGGGAAAAGAAGCAGGAAACAGTAACAAACCCATCAGTTACAATGTCAGTGATTCTTCTGGATAATAAAAATGGGTAATAAGCATATTCTCGATAAAAACGGCCCCACCATAAGCCAGAAGACTGTACAGTAGGGCTTTCTGCTTACTCGTACCATGGAAGATGATGCCAAGCACCCGGCACACATCTTCCTGGCAGAAGATGCCAACCATGCTGAGGCCTGCTGACATTCTCACAGACCCTGTCTCTATTCTAGTCCATTTTACTCCAGTTTTCACTTTTGTATGAATGACAGAAATTCTAATTATTTCAGGGAAAAAAACATCTGAAAACGCATAGTGCTCATGACCAAGAAAAAAGATCTTCATCTCGGAGGCAAGACCAAGCGCAGAATATATTTAAGATCCACAAACCCCAAACCCTTCTCTGTCTAGACTGAGGTTTCTGGTATATAATTCTACTTTTTGCCATGAGTAACTTTTGAAGAAGGTGGATCCAAAAATACCAACCTATAAGAAAAGAATAACTATTTTATATGTTATGTTTCATAGGTAATCAATTTCACACTCTACCACCATTTTTGTACTTAGCAAATCTAGATCATATCAGAGGTTGCCAAAGACTCTTAGTCACATCCAATTTTTTGGAATTGTACATAATGAATAGCATTAAGTAGTAGCATACATTACAAAGTATACATTATTATAAAGTGTTGGCTCCATGCAGATTATATGAAATACGCACCATTTCTGTGATGTAAACTTAACCCTCCAGAGGATTTTCTGAGATAAATCTTTAAGAAAAGATTGTTGTTGACTTGGAGGTCAGACCAAATGAGTGCAGATGACCCTTGAACAAGCTAGGTTTGAAAAGCGCAGGTCCTCTTATATGCAGATTTTTTCCAGCCAAAAGTAGAGGGAAAATACAGCAATCATGAGATGTGAAACCTGAATATATGGAGAACTGACTTCAAATATGTGGGTTCCACAGGGCTGACTACGGGATTTGAGTATGCATGGATTTTGGCATACTCAGAGCTTCAGAACCAATGCTCTGCACATACCAAGAAATGACTGTATTTAGTTTCTCTGTGATTTCTGTACACTGAACAGTATGCAATTTTATTCCATCTTGCATATCAAAACATCTAATTAAGGCTTCACTATATAAAACTGATATTTTAATAACCGTATCTTTTTTAGTTTGATTAATGGAGAGTATAAATATCCCAGTGAATGATAATACAGTACCTTCTTAATCTAAAGAATACCACTGATTTGTTGTTATCTAGTTTTAAAAAGTTCCAATTTAAATACCCCCTTTAAAGCCAAGTCTCCAAGTTTACTCATGCTGATTTATACTGAGGAAATTTTATTAAAAAGGTCATTATTAATAGAAAAAAGGTAAAGTGAATATTATCCTTTAGGTGCTTGTCTTGCTTCAGGTTTATATAAATATGGATGCAAAACTACTGCTCTGGGATTTGGACTTTTTATGTTTCAAGTGGATTTTAGTAACTTACAATCACTTGCACAGTTAATGAGAGAGCAAGGCTGTCTTGAAAGGCCACAACAACCATCGCTACTGCTGGAACAGCAACCAGCATGCCTGTCCTGGGGTCTGACAGGATGGCATCCACATTGCTATGCACATGCAGTGCTGAGGACACAGCTCGCCCATCTTCCTGGGTGAGAAAACTTGGCTTACTGGGTACTATCACTTCCCAATTTCCACTGTGTCTCAACTCAACCAGAGACACCTGCAGATTCATGCACAGTGAACAGAAAGTATCAGTTGGCAACAGATGCATGCATCAAAAGAAATGTGTTTTTACAGTTAAATATAGTTCGAACCATCTTATATTAATTTATACTAAGTATTGCACAAATAAAGAAGATTCTACTCAAAACAGTGATGAAAAAATGAAAGTGTATGCTGGTGCATGTGAAAGCAACAACGAAGCAAGACAATCTCTAAGAGCTACATGGCCATACCATGCTTTTACAAAATGCAAACTGTAGAGCAAGCTATAGAATGTGCAGAGCCAAGAGGACATTTAGAAAGGAAAAATCAGTATAAGGTTCCCTTAGAATGTAACTCTACAGTGAATAAATCAATAATTTGCAAAGTAAATGCAAGTCTGAAAAACAGAATTACAAAACGTTCTATTCCAAGCAAATGAAAATGTAATGGCTATACCAAAGCACACCCATTACAGAGGGAGATCAGAGGGGCTGAGAAGCTGATTCGAAGGGGTCAAGATAGTTTATGAAAAAGTCTCGACAGGCTGAAGAACAGATGCTTTGTCAACAGTGACACAAAAATCAACTTAAATCACAGAGCTGGGGAGGAGATATGCAGAGAAATAGGCGTAGGAAGTATTCTCAGCTCTTCTTTTTAATTAAAGTGTCCACGCATTATCATGTTTGTAGAAAACTATTAAAAAGTAGAATCTTTTAATTGGCTTTTATGATTTTCATATGTAAAACTGATGAAAAAGAAATAGTGTTTGCGATCCTTAGATGAAGTACCTAGCACTATGATTCCCAGCGTACAGCTGAGGCCTACGGGCCAGCCTTCTGCAGGCTGGGAGCACACTGTGATGATGAAGATAAAACCGTAATATTAGCAGACATTTTATCAAGCACTTTGGCAAAAACACTTTCATGTTTTCTAGAATGAGACTGCCCCAATAACCCCAGGAGGCAGCAATTATTATCTCAGTTTCAAATTAGAAAATGAAAGTAAGTGCTCAATAAACATCTGTTGTGGGGAGGAATACTCTTGACTTAGGAGAGTTGAAGTAATCTGCCCAGAGGCACAAAGCTATTGGGGGAGCAAGCAGGCCTCTAGCCAGGTCCTTTACCACCATTAAACTAAACCCCAGAAACAGCAACTTCCACCCAAACAAGGATACAAGGATGGTCCACAAAGCCTGAGAAAGTTTAATCCAAGCTAAAGCAGGTTTCTTCACTGGCAAAATTTCCCAAGCCTTGGATACTCATGTGCATTACAATCTCTGAGTCTAATAAGGCAGTCAGAATTCTCAAACATATTTCACCATAGAACCTTCTATTTATTTTTACAGCGTATTCAAGGACTAATGTTCTATGGAACAGACATGGGGAAAAAAAGATCCAGCCCACGGCAAAATCCCACAGAATGGTATCTCATGCAGTAAAGCGCAGACTGAAGTGACCAGAATGAAAAGTTCGACATTACCTGGACGAAGAGGTAGATCAAGAGGCAGCATAAAGCTCTAAATGGGGTTTCTACAGACTGCAGGTCTTCTCTTGAGGAGGAAAGGTTGAAACAGGCTAGGAGTGTGTCCAAACGCCGGGCCTGTACTTCTGGCTCTGGGTTCAGCCATAACATTTTCAAACTAGGCGTTCCTCCTAGGTAACAACAAAAGTCCATTTACCAATGTTCTTTGCAGTAGCAAGTTATAATATGTTTCTTAGAGAAATATAATAAAAGGAAATGAATTTCTTCCCCTCCTAATATATTTGGACTTTAAAGCTTCTTTAAAGCTAGAAAGTAAATGCAGAGTCAGAGCTTCCGAGTTTTTTTTTTTTTAACCCAAACCCAAATGGCCAGCATATGAATATTTCATTTAAAACATTCCCTCTTTTTCCTAATGGCTAAGTGAAGGAAACTAGGGGCTTTTGTTCCCATCCATGTTGTACTCCATATTGTTAAGAATGCTTTACAGAGTATATTTTACATGCACTGTCTCAAGGATAGCCACCATCCTGAGGTATCACAGTCATAGTGGAAACACCATCAATCTACTTCTTTAGTTTTCTCCCTTACTCTCCTAAATTAATGGTTTTCAAGCTTTCATGTGGAAAAGAATCACCTGCGGGGACTGTAAAAAAACAAACAAACACACACCTTCCTAGGATCTAGATGCAAAAACTCTGACTTGACAGGTGTAGGTGCCAGGAAGTCTGCATGTTAATAACTCACAAGGCTTGGATGCAGGGTGCCTGCGGACCTCAGGCTTTGGAAAGCACTTCCCTAAAACTATTAAACAGAACTTCTTAACATGTAATTTTTAGTGGTTCATTCCGATACTTTACAAATCTATTTAAATTGTTAAAATCAAAAGAAAAAACCCTTACTCATTTACTTAAGCAACAACAAACCACAGGGAGTCTGGATGAAGACACATACAGGAGCAGCTCTGCCTCTGTACCTCGACAAACAGCAAGGTGCCACTTCTAGGGCCAGGCACATTAATATGTAACAGGTAACACGTCTCCCTATTCTCAGCAGCTGTGACTTTCTATTAGGACCACTTGGCTATAAAATAGATGCCAAAAGCCCAGAGCTGGCTGGGATCTAAATGTCTCTCATGTTTACTAAGGAAATAAAACCCACGAACCAAATGGCATCAGAGTCAAATGACCCAAAAAAGGAACTTCTCTTTCTTTTCATATGTTTCCCACAATGTCACTTACTATTCTCAGTGTTGCATTTCACACCCAAAGAAATGAGACAATTCAACAAAAGTCACTTGCAGTTTTGAAATGGCTTAAGTGTTCCCACCACCAAAATAACCTTCCATTATTTATTCTGGAGAGGAAAAAAAATGTTCTCTTAATAGAAAGAAAACACTAAACATAATTGTCAAAAACAAACAAACAATCAATGGCACTAGTACTTAAGATAGAGAGTTCCAAGATATTCACAGGGGTTAGCAATGACTTCTCAGAAACACTTTCAGGAAGATAATCAACCAAGGCAGTGACTGCAGCCTGGGGTCCCACCCAACTCATTGCCTGTTTTTATATAGTGAGCCAAGGATTTTCACATTTTTTAAATGGTTGAAAAAATCAGAAGAAAAATAATAAAATAATAATTCATGTTATGAGAAAATCATGAGAAGTTTCAAATTCAGCGTTCACAAGTAAAGTTTTGTTGAAGACTGCCAAGTCTGTGTTTGTATGTGTTGCCTGTAACTCCTTCTACGCTTTAAAGACAGAGTAACAGAGCCCATTTGGTCCTCAAAGCCTGATATATTTATTTACTATGCTACCTTTACAGAGAAACTCTGCCAACCTCTGATCTAAGGTCAATAATGAATCTTCTGTTACCAAAGTTATTTCAGATAATGTTTTTGAAAAACATTTTTTCTGACTACAAAAGTCAGATGTAAAAAAATTTTTTTTCTTTTGGCAATTGATATATATTTTATTTTTCAAGCAATACAGATAGTGGCATAGAATTATATTATCTACTTTTTATTTATTTATTTTTAAAATTTTAAAGATGTGGGGTACAATTCAGGATTAGGTATACAAGTGGTCATCGTACAGGTAAAGTTTGGCCCTCCCTTTGGGTCTCTACTTTGCCTGGTTTGAAGTCAAATACCCTTATAGATGTTAGGTGCTTCTCCCCCACTCCCTGGCAGTTTCCAGCTACTGCCAATCCCTTTCTTATAGTATTATGGCAAATGTTCAGGGTCCGCTTATGAGTGAGAACATGTGATACTCAGCTCTTTGTTTTTGTGATAGATCACTGAGTATTATAGACTGTAAATCCATCCAAGTTGCTGGGAAGTCCATAAATTTGTACTTCTTTATGGTTGCATAATATTCCATTGTGTTTATGCACCAGATTTGTAAAAAAAATTTTGTAAAGAGAAAAGTATTAAGAAAATAAAAACAATCTATAATCCTATCACCCAGATATGAACATATTTTGAAATATAAGCTTCCAGTCCTTTCTCAAATGTATATAAAACATTTATGAGCAATGAGCACAGCCAAGAGGGCATGTTTCTATCAGAGTACGCAGCGATGGACAGTGGAAAGATTTGTCTTGGGTTTCATTACTTACAAGTTTAATACCAAAAAATGAAGATTCATGAAATATATTTAGTAGAACCAAGTATAGCCATGTGCCACAAAAGGATGTTTTGGTCACTGACCAACCACATTTGTGACTGTGGTGCCATAAGATTACAACAGAGCTGAGAAGTTTCTACTGCCTAGTGGCTGTCATAGCCATTGCAACATCACAGCACAACATATTACCTTTTCTATATTTAAATATGTTTAGACACATAAATACTTACCATTGTGATCAGGTTGCCTATAGTATTCAGTACAGCAACATGCTGCACAGGTTTGTAGGCTAGGAGCAACAGGCCAGACCACACAGCCCAGATATGTAGAAGCTACACCACCTAACTTTGTGTAAGCATACTCTATAATATTCCCACAACAACAAAGTCACCTGGCGACAAGTTTTCACTGTCATTAAGTGATGTCTCTCTAGTGGAAGTGACAAATGAGAAATTTTCTAAATGAACAATTAGTAACAGTATTTATTCATGGCCCCTGTTATTCATTCCCTGCAGGTTGAAAACTCCATGAGATGGACTTAAATATGTACGTCAGAGATTTTCAAGTATCTGGCTAATAAAAGATAACAGGGAAGGAAACATAAAACCAGTCCACTGTTTACAACTTTTCTTCTAACTATATTGTCATAAAAGTTTCTATGAAGGCTGAGGACTGAAGAAGCCTCTCACCCCACTCATGTGCACTGGTGCCTATAATTCTAGGTATTCTGTGGTTCCTGAGGACTCCACTGGAAAGATGAAGAGCTTCCAGGAGAAGGTTGAGCAAACATTTATAACACAAGAGTGCAAAGGTTGTACTGGAGGGGTTCTGCAGGTCAAAAACAGTAACAAGTGAACTGGGGAAGGGTACTATGGGGTTTTCATTGAAGAGAAAATAGGAACATAGGCCAGGGTTTTGCTGGATGAAGGAAACTTCTTCTGGGACTGAAAAAAGGCACAATGGGTATGTGCTAAAACTCTTCCTGCATTCCTGACTCCTACCATCTATTCAAGCATTCAATCAATCATTCATTAGACATTCACAAGCCAGGCCTTATCCTAGATGTTCTCAATTAGAAATTCTAGGAGTAGGGCCCAGCAATCTGTGTTTTAACATGCAGGCCAAAGTTTGAATACCTCTCAACACCCTTCAACAAAAAGGCTGTGAAATCATTACACAGACAAAAAAAAGAATAACATATAATAATAAAGAAATTGGTTCTTAACTGGGTGCAGAGGCTCACACATGTAATCCCAGCACTTTGGGAGGCGGAGGTGAGAGGATTGCTTGAGTTCAGGAGTTCAAGATTAGCCTGGGCAACATAGTGAGACCTTGTCCCTACTAAAAAAATTAAAAACTTAGCTGGGTGTGGTGATGCATGCCTGGAGTCCCAGCTACTTGGGAGGCAGAGATGAGAGGATTCCTTGAGCCCATGAGGTGGAGGCTGTGGCGAGCCGTGATCATGCCACTACACTCCAACCTGGGTAACAGAGTAAGACCCTGACTCAAAAAAGTAAAAGAAAAGAAGTTGGTTCTTGAGGAAGTCTACTGATGTAATATTGATATTAGATTATAGAAAACCACCAAAGTGAAAAAAATGCCCTTGTAAATCTCTGTAATATTAAAGAATTTTAATCCTAAATTCAATCAGTAATTTATTTTGTCAAGAAATATTGATTGAATGCCTATGTGTATATTAATTTAGGAGGTAGAAGCTCTCCATAGCTTTTTCCAGTTTCAAAGAAATATACTTGGATCAGAAATGGAAGGCAAATCAGCTCAGAGGAGAACTATCCGTATTCACCCACTCATCTAGGTTGTGAGAAAAGATAAGACTCTACCAACAAAGGTCAAAGGTGACCTTTACATTTCACCCAGAGCCCTATGGGCAGCTGAGATGTTTCCAACAATAAGCTAGAGACCTAAACAAGTAATCTGGTCTTCAGGTCACCCACCAGTATCACATATAAAATGCATTTGCTTCAAAAACCTAAGTACATAATGGAGTTCTTGTGTGAAGGGATGGACAGGACAACCAGGGAGTTTTCAGGAGGAACTGAGGCCCTGAGGGTCATGCAAAGTGGGCAAAGAAGGCCATTTCTCTCATACCGACCCTACTTAGTTTCTGAGATCAGACAAGTTCGGGCACATTCAGGATGGTATGGCCATAGATGAGGAGGTCATTTCTATGACTGGCAACTCTGAAGACCACCTTGAGAGACATGTGAGGACCCAAGCTCTGGTGAGAGCTACAGACAAGCCTCATTGACCCTCTTGTTCTCACAGCTATAAACACAGGCGAGTGAATAAAGACATGCTAGATGCTAAGCCATGGCACTTACATGTGCTTTTTATATGGAAATAAGTATTTTAATAGGTAGGTTTTTGAGTCATCTTAAGGTTATTTTCCTTGCATAGTCCTAGGATGGGAAAAAACCATACAATGGGCTGGTTTGTGTCTATTCTCAGGATGTGAGAAGTGAAACTTCTGGAATTAATCTGCATTTGTATCTTATATCTCAAATTTACTTGTGAAAATTTTAACTCACAATTTCAGTGTAAAGAAGTATTTTTTTCTTTTAAAAAATTTTTTATTTTGAAGATATGGGGTACAATTCAGGGTTAGGTATACAAATGTTCATTATGCAGGTACTCTTGTTGATGAGGTGTGCCCCCCCCCAGTTTCCCACAACTGCCAATCTCACCCCTCACCACCCCCAACCCCGGCAGTTTCCAACCATTGCCGATATCTTTCTTACAGTATTATGATAATTGTTCAAGGTTCACTTATGAGTGAGAATATGTGGTACTCAATTTAAAGAAATATTTATTTAGCATTCTCTGTTGAAAGCACATTCCTGGTCAAAAGAACAAACACAAAACAAACATATAAAACCCTGACTACTCACAGGAAAAGTGAAACTTTACTCTAGATGAATAAACTTCAGTATTCTATACTAAGCAAAAAAACTCATTCAGATATAAACAAAGGAGAATGCATCAATATCTCAATATAGTAAACTCTATACTTATTTGAATAAGTTGTCTAATTTCATGCTTACAGAATGACATCATCACACTACTTCTGTCTAATGTATTCAACAGTGAATGTGGCTATAAAAAGCATTCAATGTAAAATTTAACCTTTGTCTTATGATTCTAATGAGAATCTGTAACACATCTGACAAAGCACACTATTTTTACAAAAGGGAGAAAAACCACTACCGAGAGTTAACCCATTTAACTTGGCCTATGATGGTCAGGGCAGGTAGCTCTAGAGACGAGCAACCATGCACACATACCTTCACCACACACACACATACAGAAAGCCTTCTTTTCCCATTCATAGAAGCCTCCAAGACTTATCAAGATCTTCTTGACCTCTATGCTTCAAGTATCAGAAAAAAACCTTCAACAGCATATATAAGAGGGGGTGAAATAAAACTACTACAATCATTTGATAGCAAATGACAGAATGAATCAAATATAGCTCCTAGCCGGGCTCGGTGGCCCAGCCTATAATCCCGCGCCTTGGGAGGCTGATGTGAGTGGATTGCCTGAGCCCACGGGTTCGAGACCCGCCTGGGCAACTTGGCGAGACCTCATCTCTACAATAAAACAAAAAATTAGCTGGATGTGGTAGCGTGCGCCTGTGGTTCCAGCTATTTGGAAGGCTGAGGCAGAAGGATCGCCGGAGCCCAGCAAGTCGAGGCTGTGGTGGCCGGGAGCGGCCACTGCACTCCAGTCTGGGCGACAGAGTGAGACTCCAACTCAAAATAAATAAAAATAAAATTAAAATAAAAACAAATATAGCTCCTTTTTCATGAAATACATGACTTCACATTTCATTTTGTAAAACAGTCTTCCAAGATGTCCTGCAATTCTGATAAGTCAAACATATACAGTCAAGAAATATTAAGCTTATTGATTGCTGAATAACACTAAAAAAAGGTCATTCGAGATAGACAAGTTACCAATAAGTTGTATGCAGTTAGCTTTCCTAGGTTTCTAAAATAAGGATATGCTCATGACTAAAAAGACACTGAGAAGAGAAAAAAAAAGTCACTGCACTTTGAAGAAACCTCAATCTGGAGACAGAAAAGGCTCTTCCAAATGCTTGCCTCTGGTCTAGCCCAAGACGTACTCCCACAGAATGGAACATGTTAGAAAAGTGAGAGGCGCGAGAGCAGGGCTGTGGCTGGCAGTGAGCAAACACGCACAGCTCAAGGTCCTTCACTGGCCGTGCCTGGGGAACGGAAGCTAAACTCCAAGGTGTACCCTCTGTGTGCTCTCAGAAACATCATCTGTTGTGACACATGGTAAAATAAGTGAAACGTAGTATATATATCTCATGCAGGTACACACACACAGAGATGGGAAACACAGACAGGAATATATACGGGAACACATGAGCTCCCTGAGCAAGTCAGATCAGTGTCTTGGGCCACCTGGGTTACTCTAGCAAAGCACTAGACACTGGGTAGCTTATCACAGAAATCTTTCTCTCCAGGTTCTGGTGGATGGAAATCCAAGACCAGGGCACCAACATAGATGCTGTCTGCTGAGGCCTGCTTCCTGCTTCATAGAGTGACCTTAAAATCTAACTCTTGACATAATGATGAATAACCAAATATTATCTTTAATTCAAACACTGAAGAGAGCTGCAATAATCCTTTTCCATATTGTTTTTAGAAAGATACTCTAAGATGAAAATTACACATATGACAAGACATTTTTGAAAGAGTATTCTGACCATTCTTTAAAAATACTTCTTGCTCACAATCACGATAATAAAAATTCAAAAACATGAGATAGGAAAAGGACATGCTGTGTAGCGTAATGTACTGAGATATTAGACTAGAGAATTTGGAGAGTGAGCCAAATTATTGAAAGAGATAGATAATTTATTGTTTGTTTCACTTTGCTTTTCTGCAAGTAATAACATTTAGATGCTGTGCCTAAAGGATGGGTTGAGTCATTATGTCAAAGAATTTGTCTGAACCACTTATATTGAACTAATTTTTGTGTTTTTAATATATAAACATAATATAAAATAAATTGGAATTTCAAAAAAAAAATACTTCTTGCTGTAAAAACAAATGCCAATGCATTTCAAGTATTTTTTTTTGTGATAAGTTGTTTTAGGTTTGAATCTATTATTAATTAACAGAATAAGGAAACATTCCCAATAAAAACTTTTCTCAACTTCTCTCACAATGCAATTCCAGTTATTTTTTTATTTTTTTTTTAGTTGAAGTCTCACTTTGTCGCCCAGATTGGAGTGCAGTGGCCGCTCCTGGCCACCACAGCCTCAACTTGCTGGGCTCTGGCGATCCTTCCGTCTCAGCCTTCCAAGTAGCTGGAATTATAGGCATGCGCTACCATGCCCGGCTGATTTTTTTTGATTTATTGTAGAGATGAGGTCTTGCTGCCCAGGTGGGTCTCGAACCCACGGGCTCAGGCAATTCACTCACCTCAGCCTCCCAAAGGCACGGGATTACAGGCTGAGCTACCGAGCCCGGTTCCCAGTTATTTTTTAAAAAGCCATTTGTGTACTCAGATCCATATTTGGTAAGTTACAGGCTCATGTGATGGAAAAGAATAGTGACACCAGAGAATTTAACACATATGAAAATGGAATATCAAAACTTTAGAAAAATTTGTTTTATGAAACAATGACAACGGCCACTAAAAATAAACTCTAAGGGCCATCCTCCTCCTCTTTAGCTGTGTGTGGAACATGACACAGTGGTTGTCAATTCTTTACTTTTTTTCAGATACTAAGAAAGACCCCATAGTAAGAAAGGCTGCTTTGTGTATTCACTTCAGTTAATTTTTAAGTGGTCTTTAGTTTCCCTTCTCACCTATGTTTTAAGATACTGCCATGAAAAGAAAACTTATTTTTCCTGTTAAAACAATCCTCCTTAATCTCCCCTTTCCAGTTCCAGGACTCCTCAAAACATACATTCAGTAGTGGAAGAGACTAAAGTTGATTGAAGCACAGCATCGAGAACCTATTCCCCATACAAAAGGACCTGTCCTGCTGAACTCTGTGGACGTCTGAGTGACAGTAAATGTCGGGCCCTGGGGCTACAGCTGCATTGGTCCTGCCATGACCACCCTACCGTCTCTCTTCTCCCCACTGCTGAGAACCCTGAGCAGGATGGCAGAGAAGAGAGGCAGAGCAGCATAGCAGACTGGTCCATGGTGAATCTGTGAGTGTTGTCCTTCTGTCAGTTTAGGGCTTTATAAGATGGGTACAGTCATCCTGGGTCCAAGGTTTCAAATGAAAACTAGTATTTGCGTGGTTCTGGTAAAAGATGCTTCCATAATTGACCCACTCTTGGACTTTTATTGCACAATGAAAATGTTAGTTTATTTAAATAAAGACTATCTATACCTGGCACAGTCATCGGTAGAGGCCTGACGAGGTCCGGGTGCCTCAGCGGGTTCCCAGGGTATACAAACCACTCCTTGACAGCTGGACAGGTGCTGGCACCATCTGAATAAAAACAGCAGGGTCAGTAGATGTGCAAGAGCATGTGTCCCCAGGCTCACAGTGTTGCAGACCCAGCTCTGCCCAGGTGGGCCAACTCAAAGTCCTTAAGCACAGTGAGTTCTCAAACCCTAGTCCCCTACAATTGGTTTCCTACCCTCCAATCTGAGGAAAATCCATGCATTTCTCTGGAACTGACAAAAACCTCAGGATAATCTGGGTCAATAAACAATGAAATGGGAACACAGAGTTTACCACCTTGATGACCTTCACAATGTCCTTCCTCCCATCCTCCCACTCTCACACTGGTCCAGAAAGCACTTAATGCTTCCTGGTCTTGAACTCACTGTTTTAAGCAACTACCAAAACTATTACTACATTAGATTATTTGAAAAGCTGGAAGAAATAACTTAGAACAAAGGCATCTCTGCATGTTGGGTTAATAATCTGAGAAGATCAATTCTTTTACCTTGCTTAGCAGAGCTCATGCGAGAGGAGGCTCTCTTACTCAGTGTCCTCATGTCTCATCTTGAAGCCAACAAGCACAGGAGCCTCTGTGTTCTCTGTGGTACCTGCCTGGACTGCCGCCTTTTTCCATGCCCGCTTCCTCTCCTAGTCCACAGGACCCCTGGATTCCACCCTCCTGGAGCCACCTGGCTCTGCCGCCTCTGTTGCTGCCTTCCTGCCTTCAGAACTGCCTTGAGGGAGCTCCCCGTACCTGGCTTGTGCCCACACCTCTCCACCAAGACAGCACTCAGGCCAGCGGCAAGTGCCTGCTCAGTCCCTCCTGAGTGCACTCTGCATCAGGCCCTCCTTATCACCAGGCTCCTCTATACCTCGTCATCCCTAGGCTGGTCTTTCTCCAGCCCACCCTGCCAGGGCACAGCCACTGCTGTTCCCCATCCAAGCCACAAGCCACAGCTCTGCAGATGAAAAAAGGATCAAAAGGCTGGGAGAGGCAGAACATCATTGTGTGTCTAGTAGGTAGGAGACCTGGGACTGTACTGGGCTTGCCTCTCTCTAGAACTTCTCCCACCCACTGTAGACCCTTTGGCTGAGGTGCCCAAGATGCAGCACACTGAGGCTGGACCCACCATCTTCCCTCCAGGATTCCACTCTACCTACTGAGGGAATCCACCATCTTCCCTGCAGATGTCTGTTCCCATCACACTCCCTGCCTCAGTGATGGAACCTCCTGTCTCCTGACATCCAAACCACAGTGTGGCTGGCTGTGCCTCTCTCACCTGCACTCCAAAGAAGTGCCCAGGTTTGTGAAGGGTACTCTCTGCCCCTTACCCAGCCTGGTCTCACCTGGCATGGTCTGAGCTTGGGCATGGCTGTATTTTGACAGTCATGACCCATCTTCAGTCTTGCCCAATCCAAAACATTCCTCACCATAAATGGAGGATTTTTGTTTTTTCTTATTTAGGCAGTGCTTTTGGGATTGTTTGATTTAAAACAAAAACCTGGCTGGGCTTGGTGGCTTAGCCTGTAATCCCAGCACTTTGGGAGGCTGAGGCGAGTGGACTCTCTGAGCCTGCGGGTTCAAGACCATCCCGGGCAATTTGGCTTGGTAGTGCGTGCCTGTAGTTCTGGCTACTTGGAAGGCTGAGGCAGAAGGATTGCCGGAGCACAGCAGGTTGATGCTGGGGTGGCCGTGAGCATGCCACTGAACTCCAATCTGGGCAACAGAGTGAGACTCTGATTCTGAATAAATAAATAAATTAAATAAAATAAAATAAAAACCTGACCAGGTTGCTCCCTGGTTAGGGTCCCCACACAGGTGCAGACCTGAGTCTGTGGCCTTGCTGCCTCCACAGTATCCCCTATACAGCAGCTCTCACAGGGAGCTGCAGTGGAACCTCCCAGAGGTCGCAGGCTGTGTGAAAGTGCAGGTCAGGTCCTCGCCTCCCCCAGCCCCTGTCAGTACCTGGCTAGGCTCTGGAGTTCTGGGTATCGTAAGCTGTGTGAAAGTGCAGGTCAGTCCTCTCCCCGTCAGGGCCTGGCTAGGCTCCACAGTTCCAGAGTGTCATAGGCTGTGCAAAAGCACAGGTCAGCCCCCCGCCCCCGCCCCCGAGACACTGTCAGTGCCTGGCTAGGCTCTAGAGTTCTGGGATGTCACAGGCTGTGTGAAAGCACAAGTCAGCCCCCATCCCGCAAGAGCCCCTGTCAGTAGTGCCTGGCTAGACTGCAGTTCCGGGGTGCTGGTGCTGGACTGTACCCACAAGGATGAAGGCTCTGCTCACATGCCACGTCCAGTCACGCTGAACAGCCTCGGGGTCTGCACACTCACTATGCCTTCTCTTGTCTCCATGTCTGGACATGGTACTCCTTGGGGCTAGAACTCTCTTTTCTCACCCTCCCTTCCTCTGTGGAGGTCCACCTTCCTTGGCCTTCACTTGGTTGATTACCACTTTCCCTTTATGTCTCAGCTCAGGGAGCAGCTCCTCGAAGACAATGTCCTTCCTGCACATCCCACCAAAATACTCTGGCTAGGGTCCTGATCACTCACAAGCCAGCCACCCCAGCAGGAAGCTCCTAACAGCAAACCTTCCCTCCATCTCTTGCTCAATGCCAAACCAGATGCTCATGAATGGAGTTCAATGACCATACTCCACTTACCCTAAAAATCTGAGTATTCCTATAGTTAAAGAAACAAAAGTAAGCAAAAAAACAAAACCAATACCCACTTTCTATCTAATCCTCTTTGACTAGGTTTTCATTGCATTAAAAAATAGTAAATTGAAGAATGGTGTCCAAAACTGCATTTCAGGAAGGAATACAGTCTCTCATGGCAAAAGATGAAACTTACCAGGTTTTAGTAACTCACTGGATAAGAACATTGCCAATTGTCTTCTTGGGAAATCACTAAAATATTTACAATACTTTATTTTATACCATCAAATGTAGAAGTGATTACCTTGCATCTAAAACTGTTCACAACATGGAGGTTGAGGGATGGCTTCCCAAAGAGTTTTAACTCTAAATAACTTTTACAGAGAAAATAAAAGACAGTTCCATGATGGGCAATGGTGTCCTTTATTCAAAAACACCAAGGAGATGTTCTACTATTTCCATTCTTATTATGATACAGAAAAATCATTTTTTAGATAAATATTCCAAGAGAAAAGCCACACAGGGTAGTTAGCTACAGGTTACAAACCAGAAAAGCACCAGATGCAGGAAAAGAATTGGGTAATAAACAGAAAGGGATATTAAACACTAATATTTTCTGCCTGTAATGATAGTTCAGCAGGTCCTATGAAACTGTAACGCCACACAGAATCAGCCGGCAAAGCAAGGTGCAGATCAGCACAAACACCAAGTTTCCCTCTTCATAACTTAGACCAACTAGGACTAATGCCTATGTTAATTACAAGGCATTTCTCAATTAATGATAGAACTGGAGCTTCTGATTGTTAAAGTGAGGACTTCATCAATCCCACAATAGGGTCACGGTGCAAACTTGAGTCACATGGCTTCGAATTCAGGACTGACAGCTCTATCATGCAGAGCCTTGAATATAAAAAACTTCACATATAAAATTTAGCCAGAGGATAAAAGTTAAATTAGATCTGCTGATTTGATTTTTTCACTGCCTAAGTGAAATTTCATCTGAAACTGTGGTAAATTCCAGGGAAAGATGCTGGAAAAGAATTGGGTAATGAGCAGAAAAGGATAGTAAGGGATAGTAAACACTAATATTTTCTGAGGTGGGAATATAGGTAAAAGAGTTTTATCTGGGAAACCATAGTGTCTTCCAGCTTCCTCTGAGCCCTAATTTCCTTCCGTAACTCACTGTGGGACTTAAGACCCTCCACATGCCTTTGTTTCTATCTGTCAAAACAGGATAAAATGCTAGCACACATGTGCCAGAAACATCAACACTTACAACAAAGCATAAGTTTCACGGTCTGGACAATATCTTTATCCAAGCCTAAATATTCAGATGACATCATTTTTCATTTTGGTCCCAATTATCACTCTTATAGACACAGTTACAAATCCTTAGAGCTCCTTTCAAAAATCAGAGGCAGATACAAAGCATTACTCTTAAAATAAAAAACAAATGTATTTTACTGAAGAATCCTAGAGTTTAGACCATTCTCTGGGGCATCACATAATTCCAGAAGTTTTAATCTGACATGGACTATGAAATCATGTCAGAAATGTCTATAATAATTTGGTTTGTCTGAATTATAATGAAATAATCTTCTACATGTCAAGAAAAAGAAGAGAAAATTGAGTCTGGCGATTCTGAAAAGGTTGATTTTATCACTGGAATTTTCGATTTTCATCAAGCTTGTTCTTTTGTTCTTCCCAAAATATAGACACATGAGACTGCTTTGTAAAAATCGTCTATATACAACTAAGATTTGCTTTTCCTGGGAGCAAAACTGTAAAACTGTCTATACTTCCAGCCTCTCTCATAAAACTCAGCCTGGATCATGTCAACTCGGGGCTCCCAAAGGGCTGCGCTCTCTGATACCACTGGGAGAACACATGGACTGGCCAGGTAGGGTCCAGGAGTGGATGGGGTGACCTGGCAGGGAGCAAGAGAATGAGGAGCAGTAATGCTAGTTTTAACTTCTTCATTATTTGGAATTATTTGATAACAGTTCTTCAGGCTTTTAAAAATATTTGTCCTTGTGGTTCTGTCATTTTTTTTAAAACTGCCGGTTTAATCTATAATTATGTGTCACTAGCCCTCAAAAAACAGAGAAAACCCCTAACAGATTCTTTTTTGTACACATATTTGAAAAAAAAAAAAAAGTCGATGTTTAGAATATGAATAAGCTGATGACCCCTAGGAGCGCTGCAGCAGTGGTATTAAACCCATTGTGCTGACCCAGAAGGTGATAGCTATCCCTGTCACAATACCACCAACATTCCCAGAGTCTCCAGGGGCTCCCAAAACATCCATGGGTGAAACAGGAGAGAAGGAAAAAGGCACTGGGCACCGACTTTAGCTGAAAGGCTGCAGCATGGATATGGCTGTTCTTCAT